AAAATATGGAATTAATTATTTGAATTAAATAATTTAATGAGTTTTATTTGGAAAAAGAATGAGGGTAGAATGGGAAAAAAATTATAGCAATTCATGTATCTTGGTTGGAGACCTTTTGGCTAAAACGTCAATTAAAAAGGAACGGATGGAGTACAATCTATCCATGAATCTACATTCTTATTCAATTTAACCATTAATGAAATTAAAAAAAATTGAAACTCTATTATTTACTACTATTATTTATCAATCCAAATTCTAATTCTATAAGTTAAAAAAATTGAAACTCCATTTTATACTATTAATTATATTATCTATCAGTTAAAATTTTAACTTTGCAATTAACGTCCTATTGAAAAGTTAAAACTTAATTTATCGTTTATTATTTTCTATATTATTAAATTTTATACTATTTATGATTATTATATATGCGTTTATTAAGCACATATATAATAATTATTCATATAAGTTCACTTAGTAAAAATCAATTGACCCTCTCTATTACTTTTAAAATTAATTTTTTTTCTAAAATATATATTTTCAAATCCACATATAATAATTACTCAATTAAAATCACTTAAAAAATACTCAACAAATAAATTAATAATCTAAAATTTTATGAAGTAATTTTATAGAATAACATTAATATATTATAGTCCAACTCGCAACACGGCATTTATATTCTACTTTTATAGAATTTAATAGTGCTTAGATTCCTTGGACACAAGTGATAAGCAGGAAACAAAGGTAAACGTATTGGCAATGAGCTCCATACAATAAACGAGGTGAACTGTCACAATGATTTTGAAACACTAGAGTTTTGGGATGACCCTGGTGTAAGCAAACCCCCGAATTTATGATAGTTTCTTGGAATGTAAGGGGGATTAATAATGCGCGTAAATGCAGAGAGATAATCTCCCGTCTCAATAGCATGAAGCCCGACCTTGTTATTCTTGTGGAAACTAGAGTTAAGATTATGAAGGCCCTGAATATTTGAAATAAAATGGGTAAGGAATGGAACTTTGTGGATAACTATAATTACCATAATAATGGCCGATTATGGATTATGTGGGATAAGAGAAAAGTGAAAGTAGAAACTATAAAATGCTCAGACCAGTTTATTCACCTAGGGATATATGAACCTAATGGGACCTTCAAAACTTGGTGTACTGCAGTGTATGCAATGAACACTTTGGACAAGAGAAGGGAGCTTTGGAAAGATATTGAGGAAATACACCCTTCTATCAATGGAGCATGGTTTGTCGTGGGCGATTCCAATAGTGTCTGTCAAACTAATGATAGGATAGGAGGGAACCTAATTAATGTTGTTGAGTATACTGACCTGAAAGCCATGATGAATAATACTGAGTTGGCTGAAAAGGATAGTGTAGGGGATCATTTTACGTGGTTCAATAAGCACACTATTGATTCGATTTATTCTAGGATTGACAGAATAATTGGTAATGTTGAGTGACATTCTAGTAATGTGAACCATGTGTTGAGAGTGTTGGATGTTGGAGTTTCAGACCATGTGCTTTTGTGTTTAGAGGACCAGATGCAGGCTAAACCGAGGCAGTACTACTTCACTTTCCAAAATGTTGTTATTGAGAATGATGATTTGCTTGATAAGGTCCAGGAGAATTGGAGGCAGCCTATCAATGGATCTGCTATGTTTGTTGTTTGGAGGAAGCTGAGCAGACTGAAGCATGTCATTAAGGAGATGAGCAAGCCTTTTAGAAACATCAAAACTGAGCTTGAGAAGGGGAGAGAGAATCTGATGAATGCTAATCAGGAGTTGAGCAGGGACAAAATGAATGAGGACCTAATCATTAAAACTAAAGAGCTAACTAGTGAGGTGCTTAGGTTTAGTAACCTTGAGGAAAAGCTGTTGAAGCAAAGATCCAAAGTTAATTGGCTTAAGATTGGAAATAGAAACAATAAGTATTTTTATGCAACTTTAAATAACAACCAGAGGCAGAACTATATTGATGCTTTGACTAATGAGGCAGGCACTATTCTTATAAAGCAGGAGGATTTTGAAGAGGAGATTCTTAAATTCTACAAAAATCTAGTGGGTTTAACATGTAATGAAATGAAAGGAATAAAAATTGTTGCAATGAGGGAGGGGAAACAAATAAACTATGAGCAGACCCTGCAACTTACTGCTCGTGTCATTGTGGCTGAAATCAAGAATGCCTTGAAAGGAATTAATGATAATACTGCTTCGGGTTTGGATGGATATGGAGAAAAATTCTATAAAGCAACTTGGGATATTATTTAGAATGATGTCACAGCTGCTGTGTGAGAATTCTTTAACAAAAATTACATGTATAAAGCGGTGAATTGCACACTCGTCACTCTAATTCCAAAAAAGGACAAGGCAAACAAGGCTCAAGACTTTAGACCTATTTCTTGCTGCTCTATCCTATACAAGATTATATCTAAGGTTTTGACAAACAGACTTAGAAAAGTTCTTAGAAGCATTATTGATGACAACCAAGCTGCTTTTGTCCCAAGTATGCATATTCAAGATCATATTCTGCTTGCTTATGAGTTGCTTAAAGGTTATATTACTAAAGGTGCCCCTCCTAGATGTATGTTACAGATTGACCTCCAAAAGGTGTATGATTCTATTGAATGGTGTGCCTTGGAAGCTATCTTGAGAGAAATGGGTTTTCCTCCAAATTTTATTAGGTGGACTATGCTGGTAGTTTCTTCTGTGTCTTATAGATATAAAGTTAATGGGGAGAGATCGTGTATCCTTGAGGCTAAGAGAGTTTGAGGCAAGAAGACCCTTTATCCCCTTTGCTCTTTTTGATAGTAATATATTATTTACATAGAGTTATGAGTAAGCTTCAGTTTAATCCCAACTTCAATTTACATTCAAAATGCGAAAAACTGAAGATTACTAACTTGAGCTTTGCAGATGATCTTTTAATCTTCTCTATAGGTGACCCTATTCCAGTCTCTTTGGTAATGAAGGATTTTGATGACTTCTCTCAGTCCACTGGACTTGTGGCTAATCTGAGCAAGTGTAAGATTTATTTTGGAAATACGGAGGACAATCATAAGGTAGAAATCCAAGATAAGACTAAGTTTTCTATAGGGTCATTGTCGTTTAGATACTTAGGAATACCTATGACCAGTAAAAAATTGACAGTAAACCAATGCATGATTCTTGTTGATAAGATTGTTGCCAGGATCAAGCATTGGAGCTCTCGGCTTCTGAGTTTTGCAGATCGTGTCCAATTAATCAAAAGTGTGTTGTTTTCCATTGTGAGTTATTGGATACAGTGTATTCTGATTCCGAAGAAAATCATCAAAAATGTGAAGGTTGTCTGTAGATCGTATCTCTGGTCTGGTTCGGACAAGGTCACGAGAAAGTCCCCTATAGCGTGGAGCACAGTGTATAAATCGAAAAGCCAAGGTGGTTTGAATATCTTTTCGATAGCAGAGTGGAATAAAGCTAATATTCTGAAGCTGTTGTGGAATATGTGTGGGAAAGCGGATAGTCTCTGGGGTAAGTGGACCAATTTTTATTATGCGAAGGGGCTGGATATCAGAGCGGTTCCTATCAGACAAAGTTGTTCTTGGATTTTGAAAATGATCCTGAAAAGCAGACTCTGCATTATGCAGAACCAGACCTGGGAAACTATGATGCAACAGAATAATTACCAGACCAAAATTATGTATATTTCTCTTAAGGTGCAGGGCCCGAGGGTGATCTGGAGGAAAATTATGAATGGTAATGTTGTGAGGCCTTGTGCGTTGTTCATCGTTTGGGTAGCTTGTCATGGAAGACTTGCCACGAAAGACAGAATGGGCAGGTTTGATTTTGTAGACAATGACAATTGTGTTTTCTACAACAAAAAAGGAAACCTTGGAACACCTGTTATTTGTGTGTGAGGGTGTTAAAAGGATTTGGATCAATGTGCTTCACTGGCTCCAAATACATAATAGTCCTAAGGATTGGAATGATGAGATGTTATGGAGTATTGAGCATAGTAAGTGAAAAGGTGCTAAACATGCCATTTTCAAATGCGCGTTTGCCGAAACAGTGTATGAGATATGAAAGTATATAAACACTTGTTGTTTTGCTGGTAGTAGCAACATCCTGGATGTGGAATCTAAAATAATTGATTGTATTGTGTGTAGATGTTGGGCTAAACCTAGACTCAGAGGCTATCTTAGTAAAATAATGATGCCTTAGTTTGTGTTGCTGTTGGTGGCTAGATCCTTTTGGATCGTCTTGTTTGTATCGTTTTTTTGAAATAATATTTTTTTTCCTTCAAAAATAAAAATTACCTTCTTTCTTTTTTTATGTTTTATAAGTATTTGATATTAATTAATGTATTAAATTTAATAGATTTTAAATAAAAATATTATATTATATTATTAAAATAATACATAGAATAAACATTTATAATTAAAAATTAGTTGACATTAATATTTTTTAATATTAATAAAAAATTAAAAAAATAATTATAATAAATTTAGTATAATTTGGACAATTTATTTTATAAATGAATCACTAAAGAAATATTTCATTCATTCCTTTTTAAGTGTCATTTTAAATTATTTTTTTTATTTTTATTAAAATATCGTTTTTATAATTTAATGTTATCTCAATGCCACATCAAAATATTAGTTTAATTATATTAAATTATTATACTAAATTAATTTAATATTATAACTTGTCGGTGTGTCATGCACGTGTTTAATTAAATAATTGATAATAAATAAATACTATTTGAAACATAGAATAAAAGTATCATAAAAAGGAAAGTAAAATGAAAAAAAATAGGATAGCACTATAACATAAAATTAAAACTTGTGTATGATAAATAATACAACAACGATCTTTACTACAAAAGTTAGTTAATATCCAAAATTTGAAACCATTATTGACCTCCAAAGTGAAAGAAGAAATTATGTACTAAATCACAAAATTGAAACCATCATTGAAATAAAAAACTATACATTAAATTCCAAAAGTCAAACTATCATTGACCTCTAAATAGTATGATTCCTCCATCCATGACATATTTATATCTATAAAAGCAAAAATCACCACATATTAATACCTGCATATAAAATTAAAAGAAAATATAAGTAAAAAAAAAAAAGTAAAAATATATAATAATATAAAGAATTAACAAAAAAATTAAAATGAACAACATAACCGAAGAATACTCTATTTTCATGTACATTTCTTCCATCCATAACAACATGTATATATTTCCAAAAATAAAACCAAAATGAAAATAAAACATGGTAGAAAAATAGAAAAATGAAAAATAAAAGAAGAAACATGATATGTTGATACTTTGTACCTTTTGAAATTTGACCATTCTTCCATACATGACATGCTTATAGCTCTAAAAACAAAAACAAAAACAAAAATAAAAACAAAATAAAAATAAAAATAAAACATAAATTTAAAAGTAGAGTTAAAAAAAAAAAAAGAAACCTCATCCACAACATTGTTGATGCATAATAAAGTATGAAATGCTCTGCATTTTCTTTTCAAGAATATTGAAGATGAAGTTCTATTTTCAGTTACAATCTTGTTACATTGCATAACCCTATCTAACTATTCTCAACCACTTATATCATATCCTATTGCAATGATAAAGTTCACTTACAAAGAGTTTATACATGACAAGGCCCAATAACAATTGTAAGCCCAATTGTAAGCCCAATACAGAAAATAAACACTAATACCTCCCCCGAAGGTCAAGGCGGTGGCAATGACACGACTTTGAGCTTGCTCCAGAGGTCTTTAAATGCTGAGCTAGGCAGTGGTTTTGTCATGATATCAGCTATTTGAGCTGAAGTTGAGACATGTTGAATTCTGAGCTTATTTGCAGCTATCCTTTCCCTAACAAAATGGATATCAAGCTTAATGTGCTTGGTTTGAGCATGTAAGACGGGATTGTAACTCAACATAACAACACTTAAATTGTCACACAATAGAGTGGAATAGAGGTATTTGACTTTTAATTCAGCAAGTAAAGATTGCAACCAAAGTAACTTTGTTGTAGTGTGTGCTAAGGCTCTGTACTCACCTTTTACGCTTGACCTTTCCACAAGAGTTTGCTTCTTGGAGCTCCAAGAAATCAGGTTGGGACCAACAAATATGCACGTTTCAGATGTTGACCTTCTGTCATCAGGGTCATTGGCCCAATCCGAGTCATTATAAGCTCTAATGAATAGTTCTTGATTCGAGTTGGCAGGAGATAACATTAAACCAAGTGTAGCAGTGCCATTGAGGTACCTGAGAATTCGCTTTACCATACTCCAGTGATTGTCCAGTGGGTTAGCCATAAATTGGCAAGCCTTATTCACACAATAAGCTATATCTGGTCTTGTGAGTGTGATGCATTGCAAGGCCCCTACAATTGATATATACAATAAAGGGTCCTACATAGTATCAGTACCAAATTTATTAAGTTTACAATGGCTGAACATAGGCACAGCAACACCATTGTGTTAGAACATAGTTTGATTCTACAACCCTTAGTTAGAGTTTTAATGATAACAAATACAAAGAACAAATATGCACCCTAAAAATTATGTTATTTTGTATGCAGAAGTTCTGACCAAAGCAGCATCAGAAGATAAGCTATAGAAGCTACACGCTAAAGCAATCAGAATTTACGCTGAAGATTGATGACCAGAACCTGCGCTTAAGTGAAGTAAACTCTGATTCTGAACAAGAGCATAATAATCTAAGTCATCAATGTTCTGAAGCATCAGCAACATGCAAGGATGTAAGATTCTGAAGCATTATTATTCAATCAAGGAAGCATCAATTACAATGGCTTCATTCAGATAGGATCTTCTCCATATGGAAACTGAGTTAATGTCTTTTATCACGCTTAATGAACAGCAGGAATTCATTGCCTATATAAACAAGCTCAGTGATCAAATCGGTCACGATTTGCATATAATACTACACGAGAATTCAAAAACGCTGCAAGCTTACTCATCTATTCCATGCTCTAAATTTGTTTAAAATATCACAGTTGTGATAACTGTTTTTGTAAACGAAAAACATTTGTACATACATTCTTGTATCTTTGTTTAAGACAATGTTCCTTGAGATTAACCGGATTGTGGTTGTACTCAAGAAGACTTTAACAATTGTTAAAGTAGTGATTGTAATCCTTTTGAGATTAGTGGATTAAGACCTCGTTGGAGAGAGGCGAAATCACCTTGACGGGTGGACTAGAGTAGTTGAGATCAAACGAATCAGGATAAAAATACTATGTCATTGCACATTTGATTTCAAGTTTTCAATTCAACGCCCCCCCTTCTTGTGTTTTCACTTCTTCAATTGCCATCAGAGCGCCTGGTTCTGAGTTCATACACTTAACCATGTCAGTACAAGATCCAAGCTTCAGAAAAACACTATGGTGGGACCAAGCCAAAACATCAACAATGACTACCATGAAGACAAGGACAGAATCAGTGGAAAACCTCCAGTCTTTGATGGATAAAATTTTGACTACTGGAAAGATAGAATTGGGAGTTTCTTTCTGGCCCATGATGCTAATCTATGGGACATGGTAGCTGATGGATACACACATCTAGTGGATGGAAGGGGTCAAAAGATAGACAAAAAAATGATGTCTGACTTGTAGAAACGTGACTTCAGAAATCATCATAAGGCCAGAACAATACTCCTTAGTGCTATCTCATATTCAGAATATGAGAAAATCTCAAACAAAGAGACAACCAAAAATACGTTTGACTCTCTGAGAATGACGCATGAAGGCAACATTCAAGTCAAAGAAACCAAAGCCCTTGCGCTTATTCAGAAGTATGAGGAATTTAAGATGGAAGATACTGAATCCATAGAAACAATGTTCTCAAGATTCCGGATCCTTGTTGTTGGGTTGAAGGTTCTTGACAAAGGATATTCTACTGCTGATCACGTAAAGAAGATCATCAGAAGTCTACCCAAGCAATGAAGGCCAATGGCCACAACACTTAAGCTAGCCAAAGATCTCAACAAGATATCTCTGGAGGAACTTGTCAGCTCCCTCAGAAGTCGCGAGATAGAGCTAGAAGAAGATGAGCCTCAAAAGCAAGGTAAGCCACTAGCTTTAAAATCTAACAGAAAATCTGACTCTAAGGTTTTGTAGGCTATGGAAGAAACTTCTAATAGATCCTCATCAAAAAAAGATGAACTGTCTCTCCTCTCCAGAAGGGTGAATCAACTGTGGAAGCAGAGACAAAGGAAATTTAGAAATCCTAGAAGATCAGAGAATCAAAATGAATCCTCCTCCAGATACAGAAAGTATGAGTCTTCCTCTGGAAATAGAAGATCTGAAGGTTCTTCAGGACACAGAAAGCCAAATAACAAAGACATCATCTGCTGTGAGTGTAATGAGCAAGGGCACTACAAAAGTGACTGCCCAAGGCTTCAGAAGGAGAAGCCCAAAAAGAAATCTTTCAAGGAAAAGAAGAAAAGCCTCATGGTAACATGGGATGATTCAGACACCTCTAAAGCTGACTCAGTCAGATGATGAAAGATAAAACATAGCTCTCATGGAAAACATGTCAGAAGAAAGTGAAGCTTCTGGTTCAGACTCAGAATCAGACACTGAAGAGGTATTCCCTAACTTTGCTGTTAATTTAACTAAAGTTGAACTTGCAGAAAGTCTAAATGAAATTCTGAAAAGGTATCAGCAAATCAGAGTCAAATTCAAGAACCTGAAAAAGGAACTTGTCTCTGACTCTGAAAAGACTGAGAGTCTCAGATTAGAAAATTCTGAGTTAAAAGAAAAAGTTTCAGAATTAGAAAACAATTTGCAAAACTCTCAAAAGAAAATAATCTCAGAGACTCGCAGAAAAATAGAAAAATAAAAAATAAAAGAAGAAACTTCATCGATGATATGTTGATACTTTGTACCTTGAAATTTGACCATTCTTCCATACATGACATGCTTATAGCTCTAAAAACAAAAACAAATACAAAATCAAAATAAAAGTAAAACATAAATTTAAAAGTAGAGCAAAAATAAAAGAAGAAATCTCATTCATAACATTGTTGATGCATAATAGAGTATGAAATGCTCTGCATTTTATTTCCAAGAATATTGAAGATGAAGTTTCTATTTTCGGTTACAATCTTGTTACATTACATAACCCTATCTAACTATTCTCAACCACTTATATCATATCCTATTGCAATGATAAAGTTCACTTACAAAGAGTTTATACATGACAAGGCCCAATAACAATTGTAAGCCCAATACAGAAAATATACACTAATACTCCCCCTGAAGGTCAAGGCGGTGGCAATGACACGACTTTGAGCTTTCTCCAGAGGTCTTTAAATGCTGAGCTAGGCAGTGGTTTTTTCATGATATCATCTATTTGAGCTGAAGTTGGGACATGTTAAATTCTGAGCTTATTTGTAGCTACCCTTTCCCTAAAAAAATGGATATCAAGCTCAATGTGCTTGGTTTGAGCATGTAAGACATGATTGTAACTCAACATAACATCACTTAAATTGTCACACAATAGAGTGGGAGAGAGGCATTTGACTTTTAATTCAGCAAGTAAAGACTGCAACCAAAGTAACTTTGTTGTAGTGTGTGCTAAGGCTCTGTACTCACCTTTTGCGCTTGACCTTTCCACAAGAGTTTGCTTCTTTGAGCTCCAAGAAATCAGGTTGGGACCAAAAAATATGCACGTTTCAGATGTTGACCTTCTATCATCAGGGTCATTGGCCCAATATAAGTCATTATAAGCTCTAATGAGTAGTTCTTGATTCGAGTTGGCAGGAGATAACATTAAACCAAGTGTAGCAGTGCCACTGAGGTACCTGAGAATTCGCTTCACCATACTCCAGTGACTGTCTAGTGGGTTAGCCATAAATTGGCAAGCCTTATTCACACAATAAGCTATATTTGGTCTTGTGAGTGTGATATATTGCAAGGCCCATACAATTGATATATACAATAAAGGGTCCTACATAGTATCAGTACCAAATTTATTAAGTTTACTATGGCTGAACATAGGTACAACAACACCATTGTGTTAGAACACAGTTTGATTCTACAACCCTTAGTTAGATTTTTGATGATAACAAATACAAAGAACAAATATGCACCCTAAAAATTATGTTATTTTGTATGCAGAAGTTCTGACCAAAGCAGCATCAGAAGATAAGCTATAGAAGCTACACGCTGAAGAAATCAGAATTTGCGCTGAAGATTGATGACCAGAACCTGCGCTTAAGTGAAGTAAACTCTAATTCTGAACAAGAGCATAATAATCTAAGTCATCAATGTTTTGAAGCATCAGTAGCAGGCAAGGATGTAAGATTCTGAAGCGTTACTATTCAATCAAGACAACATCAATTACAACGGCTTCATTCAGACAGGATCTTCTCCATATGGAAACTGAGTTAATGTCTTTTATCACGCTTAATGAACAACAGGAATTCATTGCTTATATAAACAAGCTCAGTGATCAAATCGGACACGATTTGCATATACTACTACACGAGAATTCAAAAAAGCTGCAAGCTTACTCATCTATTCCACGCTCTAAATTTGTGTAAAA